GTAGTAGTAGTAGAAGAAGTATCGGTGATACTTCCTCCCATTCTCATTCCTGTTGCAAGCCGAGCCAGTTTACCCTGAACTGCAACAACCTACTTTCTGTTTATAAGTTCTCATTATACGCCCAAATATAAAATTTAGGGGAACCGTACGACATACTAGGTTTAAGTAGCTTAATGCTGAAGTCAGACAGTCGCGAGCAGGTCCTCACTGGCCGCCCGCCGGCGCTACAACATCCCAACGGCCACATTGAGTATCAGTCGCTCGGACTGTGTGTCTGTGTGTGTGCGTGTGTCTGTGTAATAAATACGTGTATACGCGTGTTTGCAAGTTGCTTTATATGTTCAAGCAGTTTTGTTTGCTGTTCAGCTTTCTGCAGATGTGTCTACAGTTTGATAGTGTTTAGGGGCTTCTATTGGTTTTCAGAAGAGTTTTATCAAGCTGTATCGGGTGTGTGGAGTCGTAGAATCTTCACAAGGACTTGACGGTTTCTTGGTTTAGGGTTTCGGGCTGATTGTCAGCAGCGTCCACCGTGATCACAGATCTTGTTCTCTCCTTCCTGGGTCATCGGCACACTTCAGGTGCCATCGTTTAAGGTTTATGGTACCTGGACCCCTAAACTTCATCAGCCCTCACAAAACTTAAACCGTAGAATCCTATAGGTATTCTAAGACCAAATTGCAAAGATGTGCCAACCCTAACCTTAAACCCTAAACCTTACCCTTAGCCCAAAGAATTCCGATCCATGTCGCTCTCCGAAGGTTCTCGCACTTGAACGGAGACATCCCAAAGCTCATGGCTATGGTCGGCCGCCCTGAGCGTTTCTATGGCTCAGGATTTAGGGCTTTGGGTTTGGGGTTTAGGGTGGCTTCGTCTGTATGGTTTAGGATTGACGCTTTAAAACTTTAGGGTTTTGGGTTTCAGCGCTGTGGGTTTAGGTACTGTAGTATAACCCTGAACTTATAAGCCCTAAACCCTAAACCAGGGTTCGGTGTTCAGGGTTTAGGGCCAAGGTAGAGTTGTCGAGGGCCCTACCACGTCGATTCAGCTTCAGCTTGGAACCATAACCATACCTGTACCTTCACCTACCATAACCTACTTATGCTAGGGCCTTTTTACCCTAATATAGGATTTATAGGGACCCTACACAAACTCGGAAATGGTAGACTAGGGTGGGGGCCATCTCGCGTTCGCATTGGTAAGTTAGGGTAGGGTTTAGGGTGTAGGTCTTCCCACGTTCTTCTTTCTGAGGCTGTTGGTCTTGTCTGCTCCAGGTGGATTGAGTATCTACCCCCTCTTTTATGCTTGAACTCGATGTTCAGAAATTCTAGTATTAGGGGCTCGTAGGTGTTTCAGTAAGTCTTCTGTAGTTTCTGACTTCGGGAGAGGGTCCTGGAGTTCCCTGGTTGATTTGCGGGTTTAGTGAGCGGAGAGCTTGTGGTGGCTGGGAGATAAGTTTTTGTGGACGACCACATTTTGTTTGGTGCAATGCACCCCCTCCCAAAAAAAAGTCTGCAACTTCACAGCACAGGTCCCCGTCCCTGAGGATGCGCCTGACGACAAAGAAGAAGATGAAGATGTGTATGTTTGCATGGACGATCCGGAAGGTGAGGATTTTCCCCCGAGGAGCAGAGGGGCGAGAAGTGCCAAGCCCAGCTGCCCCCCCCACATTGCAGCACGAGCGGTGTCTTTAAGAAGCTCAGTCACTCCGTGAGCCTGGATACTCCTGTCCGACAACGAGGGAGGGGTGATTTTCTAGCCAACTCGCAAGTCTCTTCCAACAGGTTGTAGTCAGTCGCTCCGACATGAAAGCAGCGTGTTCATGCTTCTGAGAGTTACTACGGTGTGTAGCTAGCATTGTAAAGAATTAGGGTATGGTTACTCAAAACTACTTGTAACCCTGAGCCTACGCGTAGCCTGCTCCTTCAAGGATCATGCTTACCACCCAAACCACCATAAACTTTACTTTCCACTATGTAGGTACTTGGGGCCCTTTGGGTGATGTAGTGCCAGGAGGTATATAACTTGCAGTAAAGCTTCCAGGTTATGGTTCCCGCTGTCCAGGTATAACTCCGAGGTCATAGCTGAAGCCAAAACTCCAGGTTATAGCACGCTTATAGCTCCCACTGTAACTTCCACCTACTTGCTTTACCCCGCACCCCTCTGAAGCAACAAGAAGGTGGATCCGCGAGGGCAGTGGCCCCCGATGCTAGCGGAGCATGTGGGCCGACTGGCGCTACAGTGCGCTTGCGAGCAGGACGCATGCGGCTCTTGTTTGGGAGCCTCATTTTCTACAGTGGAGTCCATCGTAGACAGTTTTGCAGTGCCCCTACAGTACATAGGTCTACTGGGCTTTTGGTAGAGATCCGGGCTTGTTGGGTTTACGGTTATCAGGATGGGAGTTTGGGATTACGGGCCTTAAGGAATTGGATTTGGGTTGATCGTTAGAACCCGTGGGGTCGCACAGCTTAGGCTAAGGCCCCTCATTCATTGCAAATTGAATGTCCTCGTTTACAGACTATCGCTACAGACGCCCGCGTAAATCACACTATTACTTCTTAGGGTCATATAGCTTTAGTATAGAGCCCGAACTCTAAACCCTAATTGGTCCCAGATAACGGATGAAGAAGAGCTGGAAGAAGAGGGAATCAGTTGAGGGACCTTCGTCTCCAGTGGGGCGACCTGATGGCCGAGCGACGGCAGTTGATTGAAGATGCAGCCCAGAAAGACGAGCGAATCGGTCCGCTTGAACAAAAAGTTTTGTTGCTGGAGCAGGCCAAGCGGGCTTTTGTGCAGGCGATTACTGGGTTGACCGGCGATTTGCAAGATTTGATGGTGTCTCTGGAGCCGGCATCAACAGAGTCCCTAGATGCAGCCACCCTGCAAAGGGAAATTGAGCCGTGACTTGAGTCCAGTGTCGAATGCCTTAACTGCTGCAGTGAGCCCGTTGATTACAGCTGCAACTTCCTTCGGGCAGCCGGGTTCGATGCCGCCACCCGAGCCTGAGCAATCCCGTGTCAGCTGGAGCCTTTTGAGCGGACTTTGGATGAATGAGTGCTGCTTCCGCAGCCAGCGATAAGCGAGCTGACCAATCGGCATGGCTTAACAGAGCCGTGGGCATGGAGCATTTGTAACACCATTGTTGAACGCTGGGTCTTCCGGATTTGTAGATTGCGGGAGTCGGATGCTGAGGATTTGCGAATACAAGCTTGCGGCTTCGGGATCTAAGCTTCTTTTATCATTCTGGTTCTACTGCAACCCTAAATTTCCTAAATCTTAAACGCCGAAACCCTAAGCCCGTCCTGATCTTCGGCTATGAATGTTGGATACAGGGTCTTACGGGGGCATGGAAGGTCTTAGTCTGACTGTTTTTTTAAAGAGCGATGACACGGGTCAGGTCGGACTTCCGAAGGACTGTGCCACCTTTTTTGCGGTCCCACATTTTTCGGGCTCCAGTCCATCATGTAGCGGATGACCCTTCTGCGTCTGAACCCTTAACCTAAAACACCATAGCCGCCATAGCCCCACATCGTTAATGATCCCCAAACCCTAAACTCTTGTAGCACGGAACCGTTATAGGAACCCCGGTTCCTGAGGGAAGCGTTCTTACACAGGAACCCTTGAAAGAAACCCCTAAACCCCCTAAAACCCCTTTAAAGGGAACCCTAAACCCCTAAAGGGAACCGTTAAATTGAAGCCTCTAAAGGCAACCCAAGAAGCGAACTCCTCAGTGTTGACAGGCCCAATTCAGGCCGACATTTGTGGACATCGTAACACAGCTGCGACAGATGACCCTTGGCCGAGTTCGACATGGTCGCTTTAGGGCTTGACTCATGGGCTTTTATGGGTCTGTTAGGGAGTAGTAGGTTTGGGGCTTTTATGCATGTTTATGGGTTTTGTTAGAATGGAGTTTGAGTTTAATTACGGCATTCGAGCTTTGGCGTCGGGTTGTTGTCACAGCTCGCGGGGCATGACTGACTCCGAAACAGCCGCAAGTCATACAATTTTGTTCCCTTCACTCGGTGGTCTAGGGTTTGAGTTTTCGGCTGGTAGGACGGATACCGTTCTTGTGTATGGCTGCGCCTCGAACACCAAACTCCATCGACCATCTCATCTTGCATGTGTGTATGTAGTTGGACATAGACATACATGTAGATTTAGATATAACAGATATAGACACAGTTATACATGTGTATGTATATATATATATGTGTATATATATATATATATATATCTATGTATGTATTACCAGAACCAGGCAAGGAAGACCTCAAACACTGCAGCCTTTCAGGCTGCGGGACGATTCCTTGCGGCAACCGGCGCCCGAACGAGGCCTGAGCGGTTTTGGGCCTATGGGTTTTAACAGCGTGTGAGGGTTTAGTAGGGCTTTAGGGGTTTAGGGCTTTGGGGCTTTGGGTTTGTAGGGTTTATGAGGGAGTGGCCGGATCGTGGGAAGCTCCAGAGCTTTCAAGTAGATTTGCTTTGGGTTTTGGTGGTCTGTAGGGTTTATAGGGCATTGGGTCTATAGGGTTTTGGAACTATAGGGTTTTGGAGTTTTGGGTTTGGGAATTGATGTAAGTTTATGTAGGATTTTGTCGAAATTTTGGGTCTATTTATTCAGCGGTGGCACGGCAGAGATTGGTGGCGTGCTTCACTGGCTCTGGAGTTCCGGGTTTAGGGTTGAAGGCTGAATCTCGTGGGTGTCAGGAGCTGTCCTGGGGTTTCGGGTTTGGGGTTTTAGAGTTTGGGCTGTACATGTGCACTCCGAGTCGAGTTCATTATTAAGTACGGTTCCACTTGTTGGGATAGCAAGTTGGATGGTTTGGTCTCCAACCAAAAAGCCCAAGGGGACCAAAAGCATCTTCAGACTACTGATAGGCACGGAACGCGGCTCTTGGGGCTGACAGTGGAATACGGATTTGCCAAGATCGTTGTTACCCGAAGGCTCCAATGTACCTATATCGCAGAATAGATGGTTTCTATATTAGAAATATAGTTACTATGATTTGGGAAGGCACCCTCTATAACAGTACCCAGGACCCTTTGGGTTCAGAATATGAAGAGCCCGAGATCTTTCTGGGGCTCAGCACTCCACGACGTACTTCGTGCCAAAGAGTTGAGGGCGCAAGGGTCCGTAGGCTCTTCTCAAATGTGCCTTTGACAGCTTGTAAAGTGGACGGGTCTAAAAGCCCGAAATCTGAAACCCGAAACCCCCAAATGGAAAAAGCAAGTGCTAGAGTCTTGAAGCTTCGTCAGGTTGTACACCCTAAACCCTAAACCTAAACTCCAATCTTACAAAGGCTGCAGCAAGCCCCGCCCCTGTGAGAGGTGCTTCCATGGCCGCGCAATCTCCCTCGGCCTGATTCTCAGGGTTTAGGGTGGGGTTTTGGGTTTGGGGTTAGGGTTTGTGGTTTAGGGTTTAGGGTTTAGGGTTTGGGATTTGGGGTTTGGGTTTAGGGTTTAGGGCTGGTGCTCGGACAGCCGTGCAGGGTGTGTAGTTCAAGGTTTTAGATTGCTGATTTTAGAGTACCCAAGTAGGTACTTAACTTTTTGGTAGGTAGTACACAATCGTATCCCAAAAGGTTAACCTAGTAGCTCCCTATAGGCAAGTAAGTTACTTGAGTGTTCAGGGAGTTTGGGGCTGCTCCAGACCACCGCAGCCGCAACAACAAGTAAGCAACTTGGGGTGGCCTGAACGGACACCGCCCTCTCTGGAACCCAACAAGGGCCCGGAAAGGCTGTGTCCTAAAGGCGCGAAAGCCCTCCTACCCGAAATCCCTCAACACCCGACTATCCCTTACCTTCGCCGTTTGTCCGAATACCAAGCCAACCCTACACCCCTACAGCGCTACAGCCCATTCTCGCCATCCGTCAGGAAGGTAGAAGCCGCTCCCATCCCTCGGCCATGGGCCAGGCTTCTGACGGTTCAACAAAACACCTGAATCATCACCTATACTATATGGGGGTTCCTTATTATACTTATGGTATACTGGGCCCGAAAACCCCATTCTGATTATTAAGGCCCCTACATTCGTTCTACGAGTATACAAACAAGTACACATAGGGTTTAGGGTTTGGGGATTCGGAAACACGACGAACATACCTTTACCTATGTTATGTAGGTTCGTGATATGCAACACAAGCATCGAATTGAACCAGTACTGTAGGTTTCAGAACTGGGTCCTCATACGGATACTTTAACTAGGGCTGGACTCTATGAGGGTTCCAGACGGCTGTTATGAGGAGGTGAGGTTGTTCCACAGGCTTGCTCCAGGGGTGAGGTTTCCTAGTAAGACCATATAGTATAGCCTAAACCCGAAACCATAAACCCTAAAGGAAACAGCGTACTCTCTTTTTGTTGTTCGGCGGGCTGCCGGCGGCCGTTGCAAGTTGTAATAGCACCCCAACTTTCTAGATTTCCCGAATATGACGTGTAGTGAAGAATCCCAAAACCCCTAGGGTGTAGGCTCTTGGAATGCATAGGATTTGAGGTTCTCGGCTCGGGGGTTGTTGGGCTTGGCAACTTAAGCTTCAGGGTTGCTGTTTTTAGGAGTATAAGGTTTGGGGCCTAGGTTCAAGGTTCCCTTAAGCAAGGTTCAGGTTTTGCGAGTTAAGGGTGCAGGTGGGGGTGTATGGTTCGAGGTTTAGGGATTTGCGTCCAGGATTCCGGGTTCAGTTTGGGGATGCCGGGCTCAGGCTTAAAGGGTATATAGGGTTCAGGCATGTCGAAATTGGGCGCTTTGGGTTGGAGTTTGGGACATCGGTCGTAAAGGTGTTGCCTCGGCATGAAGTGGGGCGGCTACTTGACTTGGGGGCTCTGGAGAGAGTACTGAGTACATGCTGGCGTTTTGGAGGATGTGTGTGTGTGTGTGCATGTGTATGTATATACAGAATAAAAAAACGCAAAAGCAGATAAACATGTGTTTGATGTATGTATGTATGTATGTATGTATGTACGTATGTATGTATGTATGTATGTATGTATGTATGTATGTATGTATGTACTTATGTATGTATGTATGTATGTCTGTACGTATGTATGTATGTATGTATGTATGTATGTATGTACGTACGTGTATACATACATACAAACAAACATACATACACACTTACATACATACATTCACATATATATATATATATCATATCCACTTCTGCGCACGTTTGTTTATGTACCCTCACTTTTGGAGGGCCCGCACTTTTTTTTTTTCCTACCGTTGGCGGTCCCCGGCGGCCCTTGGTAACGTTGGCGGTAAG